TATTATTATTTTTTATTTATTTTTATACCTACTTCCCAGATATCACCCTCCCATAGCCACCCTCCCCCCACTAGAGCCCTTATACTCCCTGCTACTGTCTGCTGTATTGTCAGCACCCCTATCCATTCCCTACTACTTGCCCTTCTGGTGAATCTAGTCAGCCCATCTAGAGTCCCTTGTTTTAGGAAGATCATCTCTTCTTCATCTAGCAGCAATCAATTGCCAACATTCCATCAGATAAGATTGAGCTCTGCTGTTCATTTTCCCAGTTCTATGCTGGGTTATTTTATGCCTGAGTTTGCATGGGACTTCTGTATGCTGACACCATTGGCATAGAATCACATGAGCAGGTTCCCAGGAGCTTGTAGGACTCTGTTTCCATATGATCATACACCTCCTCCTTGGCTCTTACAATCTTCCCACCCCCTCTCCTGAGATGGTCCCTGAGCCTTGGGTGAGTGAAGTTTAATAAAGGGGTCCTGTCCAAGGACCATCATTTGGCAGATTCTTGATCACTACACTTTAGCTATCTGTGACCTTTGGGTTTCTGGCCCTCTGCTGCATGAGGGAGCTTCATTATTGAGAGCTCAGAGATTCATTAGTGTCCTTTTCATTATCCCTGTCCTATCTTCCATGAGCCTTATATGTAGAGGGTGCATTGTAGATGTGTCACTTAGGCCTGGGTAATTTATAGACAATGTCCATGTGTGACCAGTTGTGGTACTTGGTAATAGTGACTGGTGCAAAATGAGCTTCTTTGATGAGTGGTGACTGAGATATTTGTCTGTAAATATAAGGATATATATTATGCACATAATAAGAAATCACATTAGTGTAGTGTTACAGTCTTGGGGTTTTCTCTAAGATGTATGGCCACTCCAGCCATCTGTATTAGGTTATGATTACATTACCACACCTGAGTTCCTCCCTTTGAGTAGGCCTTTAGTCAAATTAGGTAGCTGTTGATTGCCCCCAAGATAAGAGTGCCACTACTGTACAAATTATGCTGTGCTGGCAAATTGATGTGGTTATTTGGTCTTGAAGATGGTGCTGGATCATCCACTGATGTTTTCCCTCACCTTCATAGAGTTCTCCAAAGCCATGAAGGTTAAAGTCTCTTTTTGTCTTTTTGAGACAGGGTCTCCCTGTAGCCCCAGCTGTCCTGGAACTCATTATGTAGACCAGGTTGGCCTTGAACTCACAGAGATCTGCTTGCTTCTGCCTCCCAAGTGCTGGGATTAAAGGCGTGCGCCACCATGCCCAGCTAAAGTCTCATTTTTAAGGGCTAAAATCAGGAAGTTCTGTTTCCCATCCATTAAAAAAAGAAACAATTAAAAACCTTTGGTAAGACTCAGTGTGTGTGTGTGTGTGTGTTGTCCAGATAAGCTTGTTTTTTGAGACAGGGTCTTTCACTGGGACCTGGAACACACTGATTAGGCAAGGTTGGCTGGTCAGTGAGTGCCAGAGACCTGCCTATCTCTGTATCCCCAGGGCTGGGATTAAGCACATACCACCATGCCCAGGTTTTTACATAGGTATTAGGGATCAAAAGGTCCTCATGAGTCAGGCATGGTGGTACACACCTTTAATTCCAGGAAGCAGAGGCAGGATCTCTGTGAGATCAAGGCCCATCTGTTCTACATAGTGAGTTCCAGGCCATCTTGGACTACAGGGAAACCCCGTATTTCCCCCCCCCAAAAAAAAAAAAAAAAAAAAGAATGACTTATCCCCATAATCCTGTCTCCAGAATAGTAATCCAGTCACAATTATTTTCTCTCAGGACAGCAACTGGACATCTTTAAAGCAGGGAGTGAATTCCTGCCATGGAGGGATGTTGCGAGGTAAGATCTATCACTTTTATAAAACATGTTGGTAAACTGTCAAGATTGTCAGCTACAAAGCATAGCAGAAATGTAAGGAGATGTTTATTTGTAGTCTTGCATGGCAGTTTATACTTGATCAGAAACCCGGGCTTCCCTCTCAGGGCCATGAAATGTCTTCCTCCGACGCTTTCCCATTTTCTTTTTGACTTAAACAAGAAATTGACCTAGAAGTATCAGCGACTGAAATTTTACAATTTTATTTTGCTTTATGATCTACATCTGTAATAAACAGAGCAATAATAATACTCCCTTAATGTAGTTATTTTCTTTCTTTCTAAGGAGCGAATACCACTGATTAGCATGCATACTAAGAGAGTGGAATTTCTTCTTAGAAATGAGTGTCCTTGGAAGCCAAATTTTCTCTGACACATGAGAAATGGTAGGAAATATTTCAGAAAAATTATTCATATTAGTGTGGTAATGGTCTGAAGCATATAACATGGACAGAGTAATATAATCCAGTTTATAATTTGCACTAATTACAGAAAGAATTTCAGCTTAGTTAATTTCATCTAATTTGTACCACATCCAAACAGCATTGTGAATGCAGATTATTGTTATGTTATGTGAATATAATTTTTGGTAGAGCATCTCTTTGAGAGTAACTGCAGTCCTTTATAAACAAAAGTTCTAATGGACACAAAGGGTAAGACCTTAATTGTGCATTTATGCCCGAAGTTTTCCTGCACAGTAGACAAAGTGTGTTTCATTGATCATAGAGACTGATGATTAAATGTTCTGCTGAGAAATTTATCAAGGGGTGTTTAGGATGAGCAATTAAAAGTTCACGGCTATTATGCAGCCTCAGTGATGTCTGTTGCATTCTGGTAGAGCTAAAGTCACAAGCATTGTCATACTATGTGTACTTTGTGCAGTTCTAATTGCAAGCAGAGGCTCTGGAGACCACACTATGCCCAAGACACAGTAATAATATTTAAATAACATAGGCAGCATTTGAAAAAAAATACTTGTTTTTGTATTGTCTAGCTGTATTATTTCCTTTTCTGTTGCTGTGATAAAACACTGTGACCAAAGGAACTTAAAGAAGGAAGAATTTGGCCGGGCGTGGTGGCGCACGCCTTTAATCCCAGCACTTGGGAGGCAGAGGCAGGTGGATCTCTGTGAGTTTGAGGCCAGCCTTGTCTACATAGTGAGTTCCAGGTCAGCCGGGGCTAACAGAAAAAAAAAAAAAAAGAAGGAAGAATTTATTTGAGCTCATGGTTCTAGGTTCTAGAGGGATAAGAGTCTGTCATGGTGGGGAGGCATGGTGTCAGGAGGTGGCTGGAGCAGGAGCAGAAAGCAGAGAGTTCACATCTTCAAGCAGGCACAGGAAGCAGAGAGAAACTGGGAGTTCGGCAAGGCTTAAGAACTCTCTAAGCCCACCCCTAGTGATGTGCATCCTCTGGAATGACCACACCTTCTAAGACCTCCTGAAGCAGCGCCACCAACTGGGGATAAAGTATCCGAATACTTGGAGCCTATGGGGGACATTCTAGTTCAAACCACCTCATTAGTTGTATTAGTTATTGTCTGTCACTCTGACAAAATACCACCCAAAAAAGAATTTAAGGGGGCATGTGCATTTTGATCCACTGTTTAGAAATTTCAGCTTCTCATGGTGGGTAAGGCCTGGTGGTTGGAGCAGCTCTGCTGATAGCTGGGGAACTGTGGCTTCTGCTTCTTGCATTATTCCCAGGGTCATTGCTAGATTATGGTGAATCAGGATGCCTAGTGCTGAGGCCAGAGCCAGAAATGGGCTTAAACTTCAAAGGCCTGCCTTTAATGACCTACAGTTGCCAGCTAGGCCTAGTGTCCCAAATGTTCTATAGCTCCCCCAAAGAGCAGCACCAGCTGGGGACCAAGGGTTCAAACAAATGAGTCTGTGGGAGACATTTCACATTTGAATATCACACTAGTATTGTGACTTGTTGTTTTTATATGGTTTTGTCCCAGACAGAAATCTTTATGCCAAGTTCAAGAGGTAGCTATGCTGAGTAGCTGGATGTGGTGTTAGGAAAGGGGAAGAGATGCAACCATGCATTCTATGTCTGTTTTGGCTGCCGTGATGACTCCTGGGATATTCTCTGTTACTTTCCCAGGGTCATTGCTAGATTAATAGTATGCATATTAATAGCAATTAATTATATATTTATATATATGTTAATAACAACCCTAGACAGAAATTGATATTTTCCCAAATATCCATGCTTTGTCCTGCTTGTTCCCTGATGGAAAGGGAATTTAAAGTCCCACCTAAACTCTATGTGATCAGTGTTTGCACATGACTGCATGTGCCATCAGACCATAGAGGATGTTTGTTCTGGCTTTGACCATTTCTGCTCTACATGTATTCTTGGCAGGAGGCAGGTATTTCCTTTAATGAATCATAGATACTCTTCCTAGAATGGTCAGTCCCTTGGGCCTCCCTGGTGCTCAGAGAATCTGTTTAATCTTCGGCAAGCAATGCAAAGAGAGAAGTGGTTAGAAGTTATGTGTAGGAGCAGCTCTCTTGTTACTCCTGAGACTGCTGCTCTTCCTTGACCCTCTGGAGTGCTGTCCCCAGGATAAAGTGATGACAGTCTTTGGCTGTTCAAATGGTTCTAGAGCTGACAAGTTAGTTCCATTCTTTATTCTCAAAAGAGCCCTGGCTGCCATTGATTACTCTGTAGTAGTTACCAGGTTGCTCCTTGTCTTCAGCTCTCTCTTTGGTCCTTTATGTCTGGCCATCTTTGTCAGTCTCCTGGATGGAGTGGAAAGCCAAGTGCTGATGTTTCCCTTTTCCCATTGCCCAGGTTGGGTCCCTGGATAAAAAGAATGAGTTGTGTTCTTGCCTTTGTTGTGTCAGGATCCCTATAAAGGTATGCATCACAGTGGATTTTCATAATTCACACAGGGCATGTATGTACATGATGACTTTGATGAATGAGCATTGGTAGATCTTATTACCAAGTTGTATAGGTACCCAGATAGCCTCAGTGCAGTTTTGTGAGTTGCCCCAGGCCATATGACTATTAACAGTAGATGTAGAATTTTAACTCAGGCCTCCTGCCTACAAAACGATCTCATTCCACTCATTCTGATGAGTGTGTCAAAGTCAGCCTTGCAATGAAATAACCTCCAATGGAGTATCATGCCGACCAGATCCAGAGGACCTCAGCCATGAAGAGTTATGGAAGACCAGTGGTGTCACATGCCACAGCAGACAGTTCTGAGCTCCCAGGGGACATGTGGCTCATGCCCAGTTCCATGCATCTCCCAAACATCAGCACTTGGGAGATCAAGGTCTGAAAGGCTGGGCATCCTTGCCTCAAGTCTCTATTAGAGACCTCACTGAGCTTGGCAATGATGATGTCCAGGAAGTAGGACTACCATTGGTTCCCAATTTATGATGGTTTGAGTTAAAAATTTCTTGACTTGAGAATGGTGTGAAGCAGTATGCATTCGATAGAAAATGTATTTGAATTGCTCAGTTTTGACCTTTTCTCAGGTTAGCACTATGTGGTCTAATCCTTTCTTGTGATGCCCAGGAATGGATACATTTCTTACCATGTTTCATACCATATCTTAAATTTTCTTAACTTTTAATTTCAGAGCCTACCCTGCCTCACCCAACCTGCCCTTCCTTCTTCCACTCATTCTTTCATTCATGTTTTGAGAAAAGTCTCATGGTCTAGCCCAGGCTAGTTCCCAACTTGTGATCCTCCTTCCTCATCCTCCATAGTGCTAAGATTGTAAATGTGCACCACTATTGCTAGAACTTGAATTCAAAGTTTATTCTCTGAGTTGTCACACTAAGTGCATGTGCACTATACATTCAAAGTTATTCAATGAGCGCTTACTAAGACCTCCTCCAAACTATGTTTCTGCCAGTAAGATAGATTATGTATAAAACATTTAGAGTTATAGTAGAAAGTAGAAAGTGTGGGGCAGGGGATGGAGCCAGTTTTATGAGATATGGAGCTTAGGCAATTATGACTTCTCTTTAATGAAAAAAAAAACCATGAATATGAGGGGGTGGTGAGATGGCTCTTGCCATAAAAGAATGCTGACCTGAGTTTCATTTCCATCTCCAGAATCCACAGTGGAGAGAGAAAACTGATTCTGGAAAGTGGTCCTCCAACCTCCACACAGCTTGTGTATGCCCACACTCACACATACACATCATACACACATACACATGATACACACACAATAAATACATGACAATTTAAAGAAAAAAAAAACATGATTATGAAACTAGGTAAAAAAATTGAGAAATTTCAAAAGAAGTCTTAAGAAATTCCTGAAACTTTGGAAATTTGGGTTCTTATTTTTCTTCTGGACTTTTCTTGGGTGGCTGATCAGGAACGTTTACATCAAAGGCTTCCAGACAAGAACCTGGCTTTTCCTCCCTTCCCAGAAATCTTCATACACCCAAGGTCCTTTGCAAGTGACTGGTCCTGTTTGAAGCTTGCTGAGCGCTAAGAGGTGGGGGGCAACAGCTGGAACCTGCAGGGGGGAAGATGCTGGGCCTTAGGTTTCGGTAGGAGGAACAGGTGTCTTTTCTTGCTTGGAGATAAGAACTCTGGGAGCGTGGAGAATCACCTCCCAACAGATATGGAATATGATGACATTATAAGTATTGACTAGATTTCCTTCTCGTAGTACTGTTTCTTGTTTGGGGTTTGTTAGATCTATAGAGCAAGTACAGTGTAGTCTGATAAATGTCTTAAAGCAGCGATTTCTAGCATAAGATGCTTTTTCTCGTCTTAATCAGATGCTTCAATACCATTTATTAACCCATCCAGCCTTCTCCATTGATTTGAAATTATACTTGGATCTACTTCTTGATTTTTAATTCTGTCCCATTGATCTTCTTGTCTACTTCTGAGTCAATATTCAATCTTTGGACTTTAAAATTGGCTTGTTTTGTTTTGTTTTGTTTTGTTTGTGACTATGCCTTATTCTATAGCCTCAGC